GGAAGTTCCAAATCCACCTCCCAAGAAAATTAGGCTACAAGACTTGGAAGATGGAGTTGATAATCTGAGTCAAAATGGAGAGGGCCAGAGCTCTGTAACTGATGATGGAAGTGTTGGCTCTAAGAGCTCAAATTTACCTGTCTGCAATGTTTGTCTAGGAATACTTCAAGAATTCTGTGAGAAAGAGTTCATTAAAAAGGTATGCCAGAAAATTGAGACCTCGGGGTTTGAATTCACCAACTTGATGTTTTCAGTCTCCTTCCCACCACAGGTATTGGTAAGAGAGGCTGTGACTGAATTGCCTATAGCATGCAGCATGGTTGCTGGTAAAACAGGAAATGGGAAAGCAGAGTTTGTCGCTGGGGAGAAGTGATGTAGTTCAGTTAAAAGAAGCCTACAAATGGATAATGCACCCCTTGTTTTCAGAGGAACTGGGTGTTCCCATCGATGGAAAGAGCTTATTTGAAGTGAGTGTGGTCTTCGCTCACCCAGAAACAGTTGAGGATTGCCACTTCCTAGGTACAGTTTGCCCAGATTGTTTCAAGCCAGCCAAAAACAAACAGTCAGTGTTCACTAGAATGGCAGTTATGAAAGCTTTGAATAAGATAAAAGAAGAGGAATTCCGCAAGCAGTTTCCTTGTCCTCCAAACTCACCAAAGGCTGTATGCACTGTTCTTGAAATTGAATGTGCTCATGGTGCTGTTTTTGTAGCTGGGAGATACAATAAATACTCCAGAAATCTACCCCAAACTCCTTGGATAATTGATGGAGAAAGGAAGCTGGAATCTTCAGTGGAAGAATTAATTTCAGACCATCTACTGACAGTATTTAAAGCAGAGAGTTTTAACTTTTCATCCTCTGGAAGAGAAGATGTCGATGTGAGAACCTTAGGAAATGGAAGACCCTTTGCAATTGAGCTGGTAAATCCTCATAGAGTATACTTCACTTCACAAGAAATTAAAGAACTTCAACAGGAAATTAATAAATCATCCAACAAAATCCAAGTACGTGATTTGCAACTTGTCACAAGAGAAGCAATAGAGCATATGAAAGAAGGTGAAGAAGAAAAGACCAAGACCTATAGTGCCTTAATATGGACTAATAAAGCAATACAGAAGGAGGATATTGAATTCCTAAATGATATAAAGGACCTAAAGATTGACCAGAAGACACCTCTACGTGTTCTTCACTGAAGGCCCTTGGCTGTGAGAATGAGAGTCATTCACTCCATGGAGACGCACTTCGTGGATGAGCACCATTTTCGCCTCTGTCTGAAGACCCAAGCTGGAACCTACATTAAAGAGTTTGTACATGGTGACTTTGGGAGAACCAAGCCAAACATCGGCTCTCTGATGAATGTGACCGCAGACATTCTTGAACTAGATGTGGAGTCTGTAGATGTTGACTGGCCACCTGCCCTGAATGACTAGCTTTGGTCTCTGGAGACGAGTAGGGTTTTCCTAGCGTGATGTGGACATCCATGCAGCATACCTGTAAAATGGCTGGTTACCCACCATAACGGTGTCTTGGAAACCATTTGGATCATGTTGATCTATTTTTACAATTTGTTGTAACACCTCAGGACCTATCTATCTGTATGTGTGTGTATTTTTTGTTAAACTGTTCTAAGGATGTCTGTGACTTCTCATTCCTGCTTTCACCTTCACAAAAGCTATGAGTAACAAAAACATTCTCCCTCTTTTTTATAGAGAAGTACATAAGCAGGAAACATTTTGTTAAGTGTCCACATGATTTCTCTTCACCTTAGATATACCACCTTTAAATTCATATTCTAAATTTTAGGGCTGGGGAGGTGGCTCAGTGGAATAAGTGCTTGCTTGGCAAGCACAAGGTCCTGAGTTTGATCCCTGGTACTACCAAAAAACAAATTTTAAAAATTTGTGAAAGTTATAATATTTTGAACATCTTATAATAGCTTAAGATATCAAATGCAAATCTGACATTAATATTTTTCCTTATGAGCATCAGGTAAACTATTACCAATGAAAATACTTGTGACTGTGATTTATCACAAATTATGATATCAAATTACTTTTTAAAAAATGTATTTAGTACAGAGTCTACGGGATCTCACTACATAGATTGGACTCGCAGTGATCCTCCTGTTTTCAGCCTCCCAAGGGCTGGGATTGCAGGTGCGCACCACCATACCTAGTCTCAATCGCTGTGTCATCGTGCCCTAGGGGCGGGGCTGGCCTGGCACACCGGGGATTGAATCCCAGCAGCTACGTTTTGCCTAACCAGGTGCTTTAGTCCACTGAGCTATCTGGCTGGCCCTTCAAATTAATATTTTTGACAGTCTAAAATTACCAGTACATGTTTCTTCTAGAGGGAAAA